ATTTAAATATATACAATAAAAAAAAACTTTTTTATCTTCTAGCTTATCTTCTTTTTAGCCTGAAAAATGTTTAATGTTTCCTTTATTTTTTTCAATTACATTTTCAAATTTTTGATATATGGTTTTCCCTATTTTACTTTTATCTATTCCGATTTCGTTCCTTAATTTTTCAATAATACCGACTGCATCAGCCAACAATAATCCAGATGTTCCTAAAGTTGTTATATATTTCGGTGAGTTATCATATTTAGCCTTTATAAATGCTAGATCAAATTCCAAACTATTATCGGCTAATAGTGTTTGTGCATTTTCAATTGCAACAGCGTCGTCTTTATCAAACTCCATTACAACGGATTTAATTAATTAGTAATGTTGACAATAATATATAGCTGCCATTAACCATGTACCCCATCTAGTTAATATTGGTTGAGGTGGCATAGAAACTTCTGGCGCTATTTCTTTAAATTTTAGTACTCAAGATGAACATTTTACAAATATTTTTTTAACATTTGATATTAAAGCATCTACTTTTGGAAAATGTCTTCGCACTTCTTCCGCAACCCTTTGTAGGTCATATACCAAACATGTGACATGTTCTATTTTCGAATAGAGAGTTTCAATATTTTTCCCGGTTTTGACCATATAAGGCGCTGCGTCACTAACAAATAATAGAATATTATCGTGTTTAACTCCCTCTGTATATAATAAACACATGGTTTTGTCAAACAATTTCACAATTGTACTATTGTTTGTTTTTTCTAATAATTCCATATTAAATAAAAATGTTTTTCCGGAGCACCCAAGTTCTAAAGTACCAATAATTCCGTTGGCAACAAATCGGCCTTCTACGTCATTAGTTTCGTCAATACTTATCCACAATTTTTATCTTTTAAATAAGCCCTTATATTATTAATTGTGTGGTTGTACTCACGTAATATTTTCTTATTGTGGATTCATCTGGAATGGTTTGGCCTGTGTATTTAAAACAGAAAATTGCAAACATCAGGATGTTTCAATTTAGAAATAGGTATATTGGCTGATATTATCATATAACATAGTTCTAAATTAAATGAATTATTTGTCGTCGTATTCAAAAACATTTGAGTTTTTTCGTTGTCTTCTTTTTCTTTCTTTCTAACCAATGCACGTAAATGTTTATCTCGGCTCATATGTTGAGTAATAGTAAATTTTTTTTCTGCTGCAACTTTAACCTCGCAAACCTTGCAAAATAAAATATTTCCATAGGTGGAAAATATATTTTCACCAAATTCTTGTACATACGCACGCAAACGACAACGGTTGGACGGTTTAATTTTCGGCATCTTTCACACTTATTCGAATTACGATAGCGAACACGACTAACGACTAACGACTCTATGAGTACCTACTAATAATCGGACACCAATTAGTTTTATATCGCAAATCGTAACGTTATCGAGATTATTTGATGGAAATTACGTATAGCCGTATAGATAGATACAATCAGCCGATCTTCGTAAAAATAACTAAAATTTTATAACTCCGAGCAATAAATATATATGAAAAATGACCTAAAAATGGAAAAATGCTCTAAAAATGTCGAAAAATGCTTTAAAAACTGAAAAAGTTTAAAAAATGCAAAAAAATGCAAAATAAAAGTTTCATTATTAAATTCTCTGATGTATGAATCGAATTATATACTTAGAAAGCATTGCCCTATTCTACCCACTAAAAAATGTATTTTGTTTCAAAGTCCGTTCCCTGGTTATCAATATTATTTGCTATTGTAAATGTGTATACGCTTTCAGTGTATGTTTAGGACGACGGAAATTTGATTTCCGTCAAACTGACTCCGCGTATAATTTAATAATATATATGTATTTATACGCTATAGGTACTCCGAGTGCATAGAATAATACCGCACCCATTGACATGATCGTTGACTTCTTTTTCGGCTTCCCAGAAGGAATTTTGAACGAATTCATTATATTTACATATATATTTATATGCATGTGTATGTAGATTCGTGCGAATTTCCTTATTTTCTTCGATTATAATAATGGCAAACGAACGTCATTGTTCAAGCGTATAAGAGGGTGACCGTGTACGATAAATAATAGTCGACCGATTTTTTTTTTTTTTTTTATAAAAAAAAGCTTATATCTATATAAATATAATACATTTATCTGGATCCTGTGACGTATTTATGTGTGCGGATAAATAACAGGAATTCTGGTTAAATTATTTTTTAATAAAACGTGCGATGAAAATCCCAAACAGCAGTCACCTCAGGTACATGAATTATAATATCTGAATTATTTATACGAATTGTTAAGTGCAATGAGAAAGTACTAACTATTACCCCGGATGTAGATTTAAGAAATCGGCCAAGTTCAAATTTTAATTAATTTAGTTAAATAATATTTCGAATATAAACTACTCTATTAATTCTATATTGTTCAACTTTGATCCGGACTTTTATAAAAATATAAGTATTACCATTGATAATAGCATACTAATAGCATTTATAATCAATAGTATAACTTACACAATACTTTTATAATAATCAACTTTATACAGCGATATAACAGCAAAACTATTAAATATAAATAGTTCGTGTGAATATGTTTTTTATAAATTCACTTGGCCTAAACTATTAGACGTAATATTTAATCTAAACATATTCATTTAAAATTTAGCTGCTCTGTTATCGAAAAATAGTACAACGTTAATAGGTATGTGTGTACAACGAAACATTATTTCAATGTTAATGTGTTTTAAGCTGATGGACGATTCAGAAATTCCTAATAAAAAAAACTGCATTTGTTCGACGATTCGATGTAAAAAATTGTCCAAATTATGATTGAACAAGAAATTCAAATACAGTTTTAAAAATAGATTTATAAATATATATATATATATATATGTATTATTATATGTACAAGTAAAAATGCACTTAAGGTCGCTCCATACCATAGGCGTTTCGTATTTCGTGGTTTCACGTTTCATGCGTTTCTGAAAATAGTATTGTGGCTTTTTCAATTTTTTTTTTTTTTTGACGAAAACTGTTCTGAGGCCGAGGCAGTAAATTGATGAAACCAAAAAACGCGAAAAACTAATTCCTTATTGTTTCGTGTTGGTTCGCGTTGCGCGTGAAAATAATACGAAAATTACAAAACGCATATCTAACCACGCATAGTGTTGAGCGATATTTACACGTACGCAATAATATACACCTGTAGGTAGTAATTCAAAAGCGTTTATTGTTTCGTTTGTTATTTCCGATCTCGATTGCAGCGTCATGCGGTCTAGCGCTCCTAACAAATAACTAGAACAATAATGGAAACCGGAAGTTGCACATACAAATCCACTCAATGGTTATTCCGAGAGCGATTCGTGAGCATTTCTGTTGTACGCGAGTAGTTATTAAAAGTTAAAACATTTGAACAACACAACCGAAATTCATTACAATCGCATTTTCTCGTAGTTATACATCCCTCGAGGGCTTAACGAACTGCGTCATAATATATTACTAACCGTTCTACACACGTTGAAGTGTAACATGTAACCGTATTTACGCATAGCCACGTTTCAAAACAGATCCCGAGTATTATGAGAATTTCTAGTTTCGATGAAAGTCATCATGGTTTCCGAATGATCAAATGAGCACGCAATAATATACGAACAGCAATTTATAATACCTCGTCAACGTTTTAATTACAATACATAATTTTTTTTAATTATTATTACACATATTTCTTCGTAAATACATATATATATATAAATATTTTTTTAGAACTAAACTTGTAACAGAGTAGATAATTATAATTAGATTGATAGAATATAAAGTAAAAAACATTGTTTACTAATATTGCATAATTACATTAAAATAAAATAAACTATAATATATGTGTGCAAATCGATCCACATATCCCTCCGAGTGTATTTTAATCGATACCACTTTAGTTTAAGTGCAAGTCTCATTCTCGATGTAAATATAATACGAGCACTCGTATAATAGACAGTGGTGAGCATATAGTGTTTAACCCGACGCTCTTATTTATCGCTCTTGTTTCTCACCACTCTCATGTTACACCACAAAATTACACTACAATATATATGTATTAAAATATAGTTACCTCTTGATAAATAATTTTCACGCGTGATACAGGTACGCCAGGAGTCGAATTTCTGTCGTCCAATTTTACCACACATTATCGCACGCATTGGGATAAAACTGTTTAATGTTATTATAATGCATAAAATATACAAATGTACATGATTGTATTGACCAATTAATGAATATTATAGTTGGCGTGAAGGGAATGGTTATCACATTGGGTTTAAAACGCTGGTAATGTATAGTTTTTAATAATTTTTTTTATATTTTTTTTCTTACCAGAAGGTGAAAATATTTTAAGAGATTTGGAATTGTTGAGAGACCGCGCCGAGTACTTTGCCAGACAAAACCGTCAGATAAATTCATTGAACGGTGTTGGTTTCGGACAGAGCAAACGATTCGATAGCCTCAGGTAATGCATTTTACGTAATAAATTATAATAATACTCTTACGGTACCTAACCACAGCTATAGTCTATACGTACGTATACATTTTACCCACTACAAATAATTATAATAAGATCACGATCGCGAATATTATAACCGATGTATGTCACGTCGAATGAAAAACATTAAACGCCGCACTGCTCGTTTTTGCAACGACTAAGTGTTTTATGCGATTAATCTTGTCCGTTTAAACACATTATTAAACTATCAAGACACTAATTGTTGAAAAATGAGTTTGAAGCAAAGATTTATAACTATTGGATGTAAAATTATAAAAGTAAATAATTAATATGATTAATTCTGTCACTCGAAATTTTTTAAAAATTAAAACAAAAATATTTTCACGAATTAGTATAATGCAATTGATTAAATATTTTGATAGAATATAACAAAAAAAAAAAAAATTCCAAGCAGTAACCATAATATATTTTGTTTTCGGTGAAAATTTCATTAAACATATACTCTTGTTTACACTATTTAACAGATTATTTGAACAACCTATTGAAAATTAAATTTTCAGTATGGAAGGTAGCGTATAACATGATCCTCTAGATGATTACGATGTTAGTAGTGAAATAAATAAAAAAAGTTTTTAAATTTTACATGTAGGCAAATATAGCGTACATAAAACTTCTCTAAATATAATTTTACCTTCTACGAGTATAAATTATGATTATTATCACGTTAAGTAACTAAAGTAGAGCCTTAATTACATGAGCGTCTTATTAAAAAGTCTTATTATTTGAAATTATACACTATCGCTTTATAGATTTTTAATAGCATATTATACGTAACAATAAATAATGTTACTATAACAGTATGAGCAGCTAATCTTACATTTGAAAAAAAAATTATTTAGGAATACAATTTATTTACGTAACTCGGATTCGAAAAGACAGTTTTTCAATGTTTTAGTTAATTTTTGTTTTTGTTTATAAGGTTTTTCTTAATTTTAACTAGCGGAAAATATATATTTTAACAACTTTATACCAGGCGCGGATCCAGAGTAATTATTAAGGGAGTCATTTTATATTGTGGACATAATATTATACATAAAATTCAATAATTCTATAATATTACAAGTACTAACGTTTAACATAAATATTTCGAAATAATGTAAAGGAATAAACTTTCAACTACAAATTTCAAAAAATGGTATGTACATTGAAAAGAAAACTTTTTATTTAAAAACAATAAAAAAATTATTAAATATGAAATTAAATTGAAAATTAGAGAGCGAAATCTAATTTCTTTTGGTTTTTGAAAACATGTTAATACATAGTTGTTATTGTAAAAAAATATAATTTTTATCATTGCTTGGCATATAATATTATAATTTTTTTTCATTTTGTTTCGTGCCATTTAGAGGTGGGAGATCATTGCTCCTATGGCCCTCCTTTGTATCCGCGATTGCTTTGTGTATACATAAATTAAAAATAATGTGTAAACATCTTTTCCACTTGAAAAATTAACACTATTATGTCACTCTACAAACGTTTTTTGCTATTTTTCGATTTTACTTCGAATTTATGTTTGATAAACATGCTTATTTTACGCTGAAACAAAAAACTAAATATCTTATTTTACCATAACTCACAAGTAATTTAATTAATTTCAACGTTCATTTCAAAATTTTCTAAATCATCAAATCAATCAAGTTAAAAAAATGGATACATGATTTTCTATTTTTTTTTTTTTTTTTAATGTCTATATTTTTACCACATTGGAGACACTGGAATTTTAGGCCGATTGTTGGTTCGATCTTCAGAGGATCACTGTAGTTAACACGCTTATAGCTTTAATAATTACTGTATTCATACTGTTTGCTCCACCCTCGCTATCCTTTGAAAATTGTGCGTGCCGAACTTTTTGTTTTTTATTTTTCCGGAAATATTATATTGTTTATATTATCTTTTTTATATTTTCTTCTTCATCCGTAACATTTACAATATTTCGTTGTCGTTTCTTTTGTTTGTTCGAGTTACAAACAAGTAAAATATAATAGTAATAAAAGAAAACATGATTATAACAATTTACGAAACTTATAACCATTTAGTAATGATAAAGCATTTTAATATTTTTTTGTTATTTTAAACATACGTTATCTTTCTGAATTTTTCGCAATCACAATAACCGCATTTCGTCCATTTGGGGAATACTGCAATTTGTAGATTAATTTTAAGAATGCGTATTATACAAATATTGACTTCCACAAATACGAAAAATCACCATCGGTTCGATGGAACTTGGGAACTTGGGTTTAAATTAAAAAAAGAAAACGTCCATTTGATTTGAAATATTCGTACACAGTATAATGAAGATCGTTTTTAACATGAAATCATTTTTTCTAATAAAAAAATATATTTCCACGAAGAAGTAATTTTGTTTTTTGTTATTACAACGAAAAAATATATATTTGGTATTCTTTTATTTGATATATTACATCAATTTAAATACAAAATACGAGAATTTAAGTACTTATTATAAATATAAGCTAATAATATGTAATAATGTGCAATTGAATTTTGATTAAGGAAAAAAGCTTTGGGGGCATTTCATAACCTACGGTTATTATAATCTCCGAAAATTTCCAAGCGCACAATACTTGAATTGATATTGTATTCTATCACTCGCGATAATTCATCGTTACAATTTCACAATCTTTTGTATTTTATTAAATCTTTTTCATTTTAGATTGAAAAAATTGCACGATCGTCTGATATTATCTGATGATTTTAATTTTATGTATATACACTATATAAATGTACAATATACATACCACAATTGATAGTTATTAAAATCCGTACACAAGACGAAATCCAATATTTCTTAGGTATCCAAAAAGTTAAATAAAAGTTTATGTATCAAGCCCAGATTCCGATTCACGAACAACAGTAACGCGATAATAATAATATCAAACGTGATACGTTATGTAGGTGTTACCGTTGATTTCGAATACTATTTTAATCGATGGCATTGTCTACGTAATACAACTATAATAAGTCTAAATAACCGGCAATGAAAACAATAACGACAATAATTATAATATTTCTAACGGTAATAATATTGTATCGGAATTGTACCGATTGTCTGTTGTTCGCAGCGGTGTGTCGTTCGGAGGCCAAAAGAGGAACTTCGACGAGATCGACCGTACCGGACTGGACCGATTCGTGAAGAAAAACTTCGATGAGATAGACCGGAGCGCATTCGATCGTTTCGTGAAGAAGAACTTCGACGAGATCGACCGGAGCGCGTTCAACAGCTTCGTAAAACGTCCCAGCAAGGTGCCGGCGGCCAATTTGGAATAAAAACACGAGTGTAACTCACACGCAAAAAGCTCTCACACAATACGTACATATACTATACCCGCAATCACACACACACACCCATACACACACACCCACACACATTCATATACATGATCCATATGATCACGATGTTAAACACTCATCGAAAGTACTCATCGCCGACGACCACGATTAACAACCGTTGTTACCGCGGTCGCTGTCGTTTCATGTCCGTCACATCACCATAAAATTCACTTGTCCGTCTCATCTGCCGATCACGTGCGAAGTCGCCCGCGACCGGCATACATTAGGTTCAGCAGTTACACGAGCCCATCCGCACCGAAAACCGCGTGGCACACATGTTGTGGCACACGTTCAACAAACGCGTGTTTTACGGAACACTAATCGAAACCGATAGTATCAATTTTAGAGTACACATTTTATTACTATAAATTTTTGTTTTTTTTTTTTCGTTTTTTTTTTTCGTCAATATTAACTATGAATTGACCATTAGTCGACGCGTACAAAAATAACTATATTACTATTATGACACTATACATATATTAAATTATATTATATTATACACATTGAGATCATTGAGATCTGTTTTCGAATCTCGTAAAATATTTATTATAATCATTATTATGATATGTCACCGGTATATTATTACATTATTATTACTTAACAATATTATATTATATGTGTTTTGAATCTCAGAAAGTGTATTAAATTTCATTAGTTCGTAAATATTATTATCTGAGTTTATTTCATTGTTCAACATTCCACTGCCACCCAAAATGTATTCCTGTCTCCTAAACCATGTCTCTATAATATAAATATTATACGATGCCTATTCCACTACGATAACATCAATTGTTATAGGTAATACTCGTAATTAGGGCCTGGATTTTTATGCAAATGCATATTCTTTTACAATTCACTTAGAATAATTTTAATTATAATTGTCGACGTTTCGTAATGTGTAGAGTCTAGGGTTAATTTTTTTTTTTTTGCAAATTTTTGCATATTTGAATAAAAATGCATATTTATTCCATATTTCTTGATAGTTGCATTAATGTTGCATATTCTACAATTCATAGAATTAACGTCTGTAAAGATTCTTGCTGTCCATTGTAAATAACCCATTATATATCGATAAGCGATCGTCAATCGACATTATCGTTATCGACGGCCAACAAATGACGACAAATATTGGATATTTCATAATAAACAGTTAAAAAATGACCTCGTCGTCATTTCAACACACTTTCAGTGTTTAATAGATACAATAAAAAAACTAGAGAAATCAAATGTTATTTTAAGATATAGTTTATTGTTCATAGAAAATATTAAAATTAAATTTGAAGAAGGAGGGCCAGGTATAGATTTTGCTAGATCTAAACTTAAAAATGTATTGTCAAAAAATCGTGGATATTCTGCATTGAAAAAAATCGATGGTATAATCAATGGTAAGGTATCTGAATGTGATGAAAACGAGGAACTGTCACTTGAAGATTTATCGAGTTTTAAGTATGCACCAATTGTATCTTGTGACGTGGAAAGAAGTTTTTCCAAATACAAAAGTATGCTTCGAGATAATCGTAAGAGTCTTCAATTCGAAAACTTGAAATTCATATTTATTAATTCATGCTGGTACTCGTCCAATAATAATAATTTTAAATAAATAGTAATACATTAATTAATTTATAATACTTTTATACTTACACAATGTCATTAAAAATATTATTTTGCATTTTTTTTTTAATAAACAATTTTTATTCATTGTTATGTATAATAATTGTTTATTATTAATTGTATATTGTTAATTTGTAAAAAAAAAATTATTTTGCATATTTTTTGCATATTTATGATATGAATCTGCATATTTTATAGATTTTTATTGCATAAAAATCCAGGCCCCAGTGATAATGTAGTAACACACGCTCGCTTTTGAAATTTTTTTCATGCCTGCAATTTTCGCTCTTTCGATATCGTTTTTAGCGTTGACAATTCGACCGTGGTCTTCGAATATTTTTTATCTATACATAAATAAATAAAAAAATAGTTTATATATAGAAACAAATAAATAAATTATCAGCCTGGAGTGTTGATTATATTTATAAAGTAAAACCGGTTTTGAATTGAAATTTCATTTAATAATTTTTAATTTTAATTTTATTTTGTATTATTTTATTATTTTGTATCCATTGTACGTAAGTCATAGGCAGAAATTTGGTTGAATTTTTTTTTTTTTTTAGGGGAGGGGCTATAATAATTCAATGTAAAGTAGGGCATCAGTAAATTGGGTCCTAAATAACCTTTTCTCGATAAATTGGGTCCCGGAAAAAAATATCTAACCCATCAATCCCTCCCCTGATGTCGACCTATGACGTAAGTGTAAAATCACTATTCGCTAGCTAAAATTGTACGATGACGATTCAATAAGAACACCGATGTGGAAAGACATCAACGAACAACTAAAAAAAACAATTCTATAACTTAATATTTTTTCGAGAAAAGAGCGAGTAACACTTGCGCATAGTTTGAATCAACAGGTAAGTACGTTTAAATCTCTTCGCTAGATGAGATCATAGTGATGGTGGTATAAGATTAGTGAAACTTATCGACATAAGGCATGAGGCACTGGGGCCAAGTGCCATCCCCGTTGGAAAAAAATAATATTAAAAATAAATTATATTTAGGAGAACTTAATAATAGATAATAAAAATAAAAATTGACATTTTTAGTATAACTATGCCACATTATTTTCTATTAAGGGATTTCAAACCCATCAAAAATCTTTTACATACGCCTATGATCAACTATATTATCAAAATATAAAATTTCTCTTATAAAATGTCCCGACCATAAATAAATGCTGGATCCCCTCTTGTATGGTCAAAATCAAATATTATTTTTTAAATATAAATAATTTATTTTTTATCACGTACGGAATAGGAATATTTATTCCGTAATAATACAATATTTAGGTTACTATGGGGTGATACGAATGTCTTAACGCATGAAAATCAGTGTGAAAATATAATAGACATTGCAAATTTTTATAACATTAAATATTATTATTAAATTTATTAAATTTTAATAAAATATACCTTACAATAAATAAATATATGTAATACAATGTGCATAATTATGTAAATCTATTCATGCTTTAGATTATTGGACCGACCGACTGCGCAGTTTAAACCATAGTTCAATGTTATTTATAGTTTTGAGCGTAATCATTGATACAATTAATTACAAATTTATGATCCCAATGCTCCCCTTTTTTTATAGTAAACTCCTCGTGGATCAGTATGGCGTAGACCTAACCAAGTGTTATCATCGTGTAGCAAATAACCATAATCTTTAAAATTGCATATTTCGTGGCTGTATTTATTAGGATCTCATTTTTTAGTAAAATTATTATTACCTTTACGTAAGATATTATTTAATAAAAAAAAAAATGGAACATGGACAAGAAAATATAAATATAAAATATTTAATAAAAATACCATAAAAATATTGTGCTCTGGGGAGCTGGTATATTCGAAATATAACAGAATATCAAATACAATTTATAATACATAGATCATGTTAGGTATATGTAATACATTTACAAGGGTTTAAGGTTAAACAAGTATTGTGTCCTATCATAAAATGTTTCAAGTGGCTTTACGTGGTCGCTTTGGTATGCACCGGATCATATTTCTTTGAACTGAAGCAACCGTAGCCTTAATAATATGCTCGTCTATATGTTTTTATTACATTTTGATACATATTCCCGGTTAGACTTGATAAAGGCTTATGATTTTTAATTAAAGAATTAATTCTAATTAAAGGAATAAGATTTTCTTAAGATAAGAATTTGCTGGTTTCATCTTATACTGAAAGTTTGGGTAGATAATAAAAACTAACCTAAATTGCGTCATAATTACAATTATTTTTTAGTTAACTCTTTATCACTGATCAAAATAAAACTGTAGAAAAAAACGCACAAGATAATTTTATAACTTTAATGATATAAAACTATCCAGTATATTGAATAATTATATTTCAAAAGTTGAAAGTAAAAAAAAAATTAACCACCGCGAAAAGCTAGCCTTTCTAACGATTTCCATCATTGAACAATAAATTCTACCGTTATAGATCACAATAAATGCCTATATTTGATAAAATATTCCATCGATTTAGTTAGAAAAGTATATATTAATTTTGCATGTGCTAAATATGCACTTAAAACTACAACATACGAAAATATACAGTGTTGGTCTAGCCCAACCGGATAGCCGGCAACCGCGGGGCCCGGAAATTTATTCTTAAAATATGGGCCCAAATAGGGGCGGATTGACTGTTAAAGAACTATGAGTCAGGCTATTTCAAGAGGCCACTTATAAGAGTTTAAAGTGGATTATAAGTGTATTCCTTGTAACAAAAAACAATATGATAATACAATATTTGTTTTTTAAGTTTATTCATAGTTATCATTAAGGCTCGGAACTTTAGGCATTTGCATATTTGTCTAGAAAGTGCATATTGAAATTCTAATTCGATACAAATTCGATTCATAATATGCATATTTCAGATATAAAAATTTTTGTTGCATAATTTTGCATATTTTGTTTCTTTTTGTACCAATTTGCATATTTTGGGTTTAAGAACATTTATATGCACATTTCATGGATTTAATAAAAATTTTTAAAAAAATGTAGAGTTTAATAATAAAATATTAGGTATGTGACAGTCAAAATTTTAAGTTTTATATCGTTTGACAAAATAAATTAACTCATCAACGGCTATTATTTGTATTGCTCCGGCTCCCAATGCACTTAATAAACAATAATACAACAATAATATTATAATCTTTATAGTACCAAAAACTCGTAATAGTGACCACCGCCGATCTGTATTTATTTTTATACAAATTTACCACTGTATTAATATTTTGTAACATGACATAAACAAATTGTATAATCATAGGTAATTCGTAAACAATTATGTTTAACAGCTGCATGTCCTCAGCCCCCCCCCCACCTCGGATTTTCGACTTAAAATGTTTACAGTCGTTTGTGCTTCATTTGTGCTTGTTTGTGCTTTTATTCCCATCATTTGTGCTTAACCCATTTCCGAGTTATTGAACTTTCAAGGGGGGGACATACACATCTCCCCCACTACCTCGAACTTTCGAGTTCAAATTTTTACAGCCGTTTGTGTTTGTTTTTGCTTTTATTCCCTTCGTTTCTGCTTAACCCATTTCCGAGATGTTAAACATTTAAGGAGGGAGGGGACTAAGGACTTAGCCTTCCCACTAACCAATTTTTTATTTCTTATTGATCTGTTTGTTTATTCCACGTTTGTGCAGATTTGTGATCTAACTTTAGCAGAAAATTCTGATTTACTTGGGATTTTTTTTATAATGACCCACTTTATTTTTTTTTAAATTAATTTTCGTACAAAAATTTAAATATTTGACATTTTTACGTGTATTTTAAAACAATAAGAGCTCTTCTCTCCAAAACCCCGAAGCGATATTATCATTATTGATGAATTTTCATTTTGAAAAAAATACAATCCCGAATTAAAGAAATTGCACCCAATGCATTATTCACCCATTGTTTAGCACATAAATTAAATTTAGTATTGCAATATAGCTGTAA